ATATTTTCGTCCTTTTTAGTAAATCCATTTCAAAACGCTTAATTTATAATTTAGTTATTTTACTATTGAAAAACTTTTTACTTTGGTTTAAAAAATATTGTCAAAATTGTGTAGCCACATCTACCTAATAAAAATTGAGTTTTTTTTATCATATTGATAGAATCTTTGTGCACTAAAGTAGTTTGACGCACTTGCATTAAAGAAATACTAACATTTTGACACAAACTATCATACATCCATTTTCATAAAAACTCACTTTTATTTGATTTTAAAATTGAAAATTAAATTTAAAATTAATTGATTCAGAAAGAGTTTAAGTACAGGCTTCTTGTAAAAACCCATATTTCATACAATTAAAAATATATACAACAAAAGTTACATTGTGTGTTACCTGAGAACATCCCGAGTATGACAAACTGGCCGATAGTTAACTAAAATAGCATTTTATAAAAAGTAGGGCCGTATATTATTTAACCCCATTTTTAATTTTTTTTTAAAGTCATAAACAAGGCATTCATAATACCATAAATGACACCAATGCAGTTTCCTTACTTGAATATAATTTACTAAAATAAATCAACAATTAAATGATTATAGATTAAATTGAAACATACGGACTATGAGTACATTGTTAGAAATCTATGTGCAAGGAAAAACCAATTTTAATAGTAAGAACATTTGACGTCAATTTCTATACAAAAATAAGATTAAACAATATACGGCCACTATAAAAAGTTGAGAAGTTCCCATATAGCATTCCGGAGCGATCGACACTAAGTCATTTTTGCTATGAAAGTAAACAATAATATTTAAACTGACAAAACAAGTCCAAAAACAAATTAAAATTAAGAATAATAATTGCTTCCTTTATATATAATTTGAAAACTTCGATTGTAGATTTAAAAAGTTTGGTGCCGATTAAAATATTTTCATTAAATTGAATCATTAAAATAATTAAATTCATTAAATTGAAAACTTCACTTTCAGTGACGATCGTTTCGGAACAAATTGAGAGTAAAAAAATATCGTAATAGAAACAATTCAATGTACTTATCAGTCGTAAGATCTAATTACATTTAGACAGGGCCGTTGTGACCACACTAACAGGACAGCCGCCCAAGTCCGCTCTATGCTTCCACTTTCACTACACTTGAGAACAAAAAACTTTCGAGCAATATATAAAAAATAATTTATAATGAAAAATGTCTTCCTTTTACGCTGAATTTTAATTTAAAACACTAATAATCCCGCATTTAAAACAATTATTCAATTAAATTTTATTTAAAAAACTTTATCCGACTCGAAGGACCAAAAAAATTACTAAAACAAAGATTTAACACATTTTAAAGCATCAAACATCATACAACAAGTGTACTGAAAGTGAAAACATCAAGACTAACACACCTTTCTTCCATTCAACTCCATATTTATCACATT